GAATGCTCTTTTCCGGAAAATTTCCGTAACGTCCTCGCCTGTGTGAACAGCCCTTTTTTCAATATAACGGTAAAGTCGTTCCGGAAATTTTCCAGAAATTTACCGGTATCACTGTGTGAAAGGGGCTACAATCTCACGGCAATTGGAAACTTTTCAGTGGCTAATTCGTATGATCTTAAGCTGCGGTCACATTAGAGTTTGAGCATGCGATATTCTGTTGTGCGGCGCTGCGAAAAGGGGTGGGGTTAAACAAGATTATTAGACGTTTAAAAAAGCAAGCGTGTGCTCCATGTTTTAAATTTCTGTTATTTGGTTGGTTCTTTATATCCTGAATATATTTAACATTTATATTTGCCTTTCATATGTTCTAGTTTATCGTTTAAGCTAGTTTGTGAACAGCTAGCTTATTAGTTTTGTAGCTGCAGCATTTACATCATTTCTATCTAATAATTTGTTACACATTGTAATTATTTTGTGAAGTGACAAAATGAAGAGAGGAGTCCATTAAAGGGAAAGCTGCTGTTTGGCTTAACCACGGTCTTGGTGTCCTTATTCATCCTTTCACACATACACAACGCAGAGACATTTTGGGGAAGCACACCAACGAAGAGGGTTACATCTTGATCCTCGATTGGTCTCACGCAGTCAAGTGATGCGATTTCGCAGGTCAGAGTTCACCAAGCTGCAAAACTTGACACATGACCCTGTGTTTCCGGTCTGACGCATTCTTGGGAGGAAAAGCCCAGTGTGACCGCAGTTTTTTTCGTACACTTTAGTACGATTTTCTCAATTACCAATGATGGTTGGGTTTAGGGGTGGGGTTTTATGCCACGCCTCCTTTTAAAATTTTTACTTTTTCATATGAATTCACACGAATTAGCCACTAAACTCACAAAATGTGAAATAGTTATGTTTCTGCGTGACATCAAGCTGGAGTAATAGTTTTTGTTTATTTCTACATTAAACGTATCTCAGAAAAAAGTTCAGACACAAATTCAAAATACTCTCACCTGCCACTTTATTAGGTACACCTTAATAGTTTGGCCACAGTCCAAAGAAATGCGGTAAATTGTCCATAGTGTACGAGTTTGTATGGATATGCTGCGTAAAACATATGCTGTATAAATTGGTGGTTCATTCCGCTGTGGCGACCTCAGATTATTAATGGGACTATTAAAGGGATTATTAAAGCCAAAAAGATAATGAATGAATGAATGAATGAATGAATGAATGAATGAATTCATATGAATTTACAGCTGAACTGACAAAACATAAAATAGTTACTTTCCCCATGAGACAGGGCTGAGTTGAGATTTATTTTTTAAATGTCAAGTACTCATAAAGACATTATATAATTGTCCGAATGGCACTTAAAGACAGTTATCTTAAGCATAAATGAATATTCATTCACATTCATAACATGTGTCGTGAATATAAATGTTTTTTTATGAACACCCCTTTTAAGTAAAGCCTAACCGTAAAGTTTATATTATTACTCAATTGACGCTTGTAGAAGAGTTAAAGCATGGATTTACACGCTACTTCAAATTGTTTATGATGTTTACAATGAGTCTTTGAGTAAATATCAAAGAGATAAAATGAAGGAATTACTTTCTGAGTTGTGCTCCCTTCATGCCCTGGTTCCCATCATGCAATTATGAATTTGCACTCCAGTTTTTTACAGATTAACATGCTGTTTTATGAGATCTTGGGTTCATTGTCTGCTCAAAATGACCAACGCAATCTCACCGTGAATTTAGACTCAAAAATCAAGAATACTTCCCCAAATGAACTGTGTTTTGACTTTAAAAATAGGATTAGCATATTTATGAATTGTGTTTTAAATCTCTGAATTAGATTAGCATATTTATGAATTGTGTTTCGATTTTACATATAGGATTTGCATATTTATGAATTGTTTTGAATTTACGAATTGTGTTTTGTGTATTTATCAATTGTGTTTTGTGTAATTATGACATGAATTTTGAATTTATGTGACGCAATCGTGCAGTAGGTAGTGATGTCGCCTCACAGCAAGAAGGCTGCTGGTTCGAGTCTCGGCTGGGACAGTTGGCGTTTCTGTGTGGAGTTTGTATATTCTCCCTGTGTTCGTGTGGGTTTCCTTCAGGTGCTTCGATTTCCCACACAATTCCAAATACATGCTGTACAGGTTAATTGAGTAGGCTAAATTGTCGATAGTGTATGAGTGTGTATGGATGTTTCTCAGAGATGGGTTGCAGCTGGGAGGGCATCCGCTGCATAAAACATGTGCTGGATTAGTTGGTGGTTCATTCTGCTATGGCAACCCCGGATTAATAGAGGGACTAAGGCGAAAAAAAAATGAATGAATGAATTTTGAATTCACAAATTAGATTTGCATATTTATGAATTGTGTTTTGAATTTACGAATTGAATTAGCATATTTATGAATTTTGTTTTGAGTTACGAATTGAATTAGCATATTTATGAATTTTGTTTTTAGTTTATGAATTGAATTAGCATATTTATGAATTTTGTTTTGAGTTTACGAATTGAATTAGCATATTTATGAATTTTGTTTTTAGTTTATGAATTGAATTAGCATATTTATGAATTTTGTTTTGAGTTTATGAACTGAATTAGCATATTTATGAATTTTGTTTTGAGTTTATGAATTGAATTAGCATATTTATGAATTTTGCTTTGAGTTTATGAACTGAATTAGCATATTTATGAATTGTGTTTTGAGTTAATAAATTTAATTAGCATATTTATGAATCGTGTTTTGAGTTTATGAATTGAATTAACATTTTTATGAATTGTGTTTTGAGTTTATGAACTGAATTAGAATATTTATGAATTTTGTTTTGAGTTTATGAACTGAATTAGCATATTTATTAATTTTGTTTTGAGTTTATGAATTGAATTAGCATATTTATGAATTTTGCTTTGAGTTTATGAACTGAATTAGCATATTTATGAATTGTGTTTTGAGTTTATGAATTGAATTAGCATATTTATGAATCGTGTTTTGAGTTTATGAATTGAATTAACATTTTTATGAATTGTGTTTTAAGTTTATGAACTGAATTAGCATATTTATTAATTGTGTTTTGAGTTTATGAAATGAATTTGCATATTTATGAATTGTGTTTTGAATTTATAAACTGAATTAGCATATTTATGAATTGTGTTTTGAGTTTTTGAAATGAATTAGCATATTTATTAGTTGTGTATTAAGTTTACAAATTTGTTTTTGTATTTATGAATTGAGTTTTGAATTTCCGAATTGAATTAGCATATTTATGAATTGTGTTTTTAATTTTCGAATTGTGTATTGTGTATTCCTGAATTGTGTTTTAAATTCATGAATTGAATTTGCATATTTATGAACTGTGTCTTGAATTTGCGGTTTCCATTCTGTAAATGTGAATTGTGTATGAATTTTATTTTGTAAATGTATTATTGTTGAGACTGACCTGGCTCCATAGATTAACCATAAAACATTGTGTTGTTTCTGCTCATTTTAAAAAAGCAGTTTGAACAAACAGCAAACTTCATTTTTTTGTGTAATATGTCATTTGAACACATTTAAACAGTAAACCGTTAAGTATCTAATACTTAAAGTAGGTTTTTAGGTACTGGCTTACTGAATGCATTTAGACATACATTGAACTGTAATACAATCATAAATTATAAGAAAAAGATTTAACTAAAACTTACATTCACTGCGAACACACCAAGCAGTAACACTGCTAACAAAGTGAAAACGGCATTTTAACACCAGGAAAGTAAGCATACATATGTAAAAAAAACCTTTTGTTATAATACTAACATTGAAAAAAAGAGTGCGTTTTTAAAAATATCTTCAGTGTAGAGTATTACAAAAAAGATCATCGTTTTAAAAAGACATTCAAGGACAGTTGTTTACGGAAGAGTTTTTTTCTTTCTATTTTCTGCAGGCTTTTGGACTGGTCTACAAAATAGTCATCTCAACAGAATCTGAAGAAAATTCCAAAACTAGAAGCGGATAGCTACATATTACTACAGACATACATGGAACGCAAAAATAAACTTAAAGGTGACCTACTATGTCTCTTTTTACAAGATGTAAACTAAGTCTCTGATATCCCTAGAGTATGAATGTGAAGTTTCAGCTCAAAATACTACACGAAAAATGTTTTATAACTATTTGAAACTGCTCCATTACGGCTTTGTTTCGAAATGTGCCATTTTGGTGACTGTCACTTTAAATTCAAATGAGATTGTGCTCTTTTCAGAAGAGGGCGGAGCTATACTTGCCTATGTGTCAGCATAGGGGCACATTCAAAACAGGATTAATGACGGCTGCTTCCAGGGCCAGCGCGTCCATAGAGGTGACCTAGGGTGGCGAAATAGAGAGGGCGGCGTCCGCAACACCTGCCTCACCACCTGCCTCATCAGTTATGTCCGTGACACCTCCCTCACCACCTGCGTTATTAGTTATTTCCACAACACCTCCCTCACTACTCGCGTCCTCAGTTAGATCAGTGCATAGGGCAGCAGAATAGAGAGGGCGGTGTCCGCAACACCTCCCTCACCACCCCAGTTCTTCACTTTGATAAGCGGTCACTTTCGTTTTCACTTTCGGGTTGAGGGTGGCATGACCGTCCTCTGCCCAGAGCGGCATTTCAGCTTGCTCTGGCCCTGGCTGCTTCTCACTTAGGGCTGTCTTTGCGAATAAGAGAGAGATCATCACTAGTGGGTGGGGCTTTCTCGGTCTGATGACACGTACAAAGGAAGAATGTCAATCAAAGTGTTTCTGCAGACGAAGTGTTCATCAAGTGTGATTATAAAAATATAGAAATAATTCATTTTTACCATAAGAGACTGGCTGTATTCACACACTGTCGCCACAAAAGTGTGTTAAAACCCCTCATTAAAGTGATTTTTGCATAATAGGTCCCCTTTAATAATAATAATAATAATAATAAAAATCAGCTTCCCTCAGGATTCATTTCCCATATCTTACAGTATGTAAATGCCACTCGCCTGTAAACAAATCCAAATCTCACACTGCATTTCCCTCATTTAGTGTGAAAAGTTCTTCAAGTGTTGTCATTTCTGATGGAGAATGACTCTCATCCGTTATAATGGGCCACGAGGGAGAGCACTGCAGGTTTGGTGTTATCTGCTGATGGTGGGCCGTCCTCCACTGGGTTTGTCTGATTGGGTCCCACTGAAGCAACCATAAAAGTGAAGTTGTCCGTGCGGCGTCCGGGACGAAAAGGTTTGGTCTTTGAAGAGCTTTTCAGACTAGAACCTCGTTGTGGTTTGTCGCAGTTGAGAAGAGCTCTGAAACACCTGTAGAACTTAACACACACACACAAACACAAACAAATACAAAACATTAGAGGAATAATGGGGGTACACAAATTAAAGGGATAGTTCACCCAAATAAATAATTCTGTCAATTTACTCATTCATTCAAACCTGTTTGAGATCCTTTCTTCTGTTGAACACAAAGGAAGATATCCTGAAGAATGATGCCAATGGCTGCTGGTTTCCAACATTCTTCAGAATATCTTCGTTTGTGTTAAGCAGAAGAAATGAATTCATAAACATCTGAACTACTTGAGCGGGAGTAAATGTTAAGGACTTTTTTTTGGGATGAACTGTCCCTTTAACGAACGTGATAAAAATAAACAAACAAAAAAAAATCATGCTGAAGAATGCAATGGTAAAATAAATGATTCAATTATTCAAAATAATGAATAACCAATGGTACTTGTTGTTCTTTATACAACAGGTTATTTGTCTGGGTTTCGAATACTTCACCCCTTGCCCTTGATAGAAATAAAAATGATCGTAGTTAAATCGATTTCTTCATTTATTCAATATACAACACCAGTGTTGGGCAGTAGCGTCGCTACAAGTAGTGACGCTACTAGCTTAACTACATTTCTCAGTAGTGTGGCGGTAGCGTTGCTACCTTCTAAATCTAATTGCTACATTTACTGATCGCGGATCAATAAGTGACGGCACCGACATTCACGGAGCTGTGAGGCCGATGTCTAGCCGATGAAAGTAAATCCATATGATGGCGAGAATGAGGAATTCTTCTTCTTCTTTCTGTTTTTTTAAGTTTTTGGTGCGTTACTGCCACCTCTGGTTGGCGATGTCGGATGCTTGATGGAAAGTTGACTGTGGGAGAGGAGTTATTTCTGAAGCAGGATTCCTCGTGACCATAGCTCGAGAAGTACATACCCCTATAAGATGCAATATATATTCATACATTATAATGCTTATGTCAAAATACTTCCCTTTACTATAAATTACTATAATTTTTTAATTGTGTAACACCTGGTTTTATTGGATTTTTTGTTTTAGCTGATACATACTATAATTTGTTTCTGTTTAGTACAGTATATTATTTACAGTAAACAACTGATCTGAACTATTATGTCTCATATGTTTCATTGACAGTTTAATTGATCACTAAGATTAGACTTGGATTTAAGTTGCTTCGATTTAAATATGAAAATTGCAAAAATAGCTTGGATGTAGCTGAGCTACTTTTGCTGAGTAGCTTTTAGCTTAGCTTACAACCTTTCCAAGTGGGTAGCTTTAAGTGTAGTTAAGCTACATTTTAAGTAGCTTAGCTCACTACACTTTTCAAGTAGCTTGCCCAGCACTGTAAAACACATTACAAAGCAAACCAATAGAGCACCTTTGGTGATGTGGTGGAACGGGAGATTCGCATCTTGGATGTGCAGCCAACAAATCTGCAGCATCTGTAATGCTATCGCGTCAATTTCTTTGAGGAACATTTGCTGTACCTTGTTGAATCTATGCCATGAAGGATTAAGGCAGTTCTGAAGGGTCCAACCTGTTACTAGTAAAGTGTACCTAATAAAGTGGCCGGTGAATGTATTTTAGTGCATTTAAACAAAACAGATTTATTAAACGGATATTTTTATTAAAATAATATTTTAGTCGCAGAACATCTTTAGATATAAAGAGAAAACATTAAAATTCATGTAAAATATTGGGGAAAACGTACAAAATTTCCACAAATTGTACAAATTTGTGGGTCTTTTTGAACGTTTTCATTTTTAATTTAATATTTTTCCCGAACATAATCATTTGGGTGTACTACTTTTAGACTGTTTAGTCGGGTATTTTGTTAGATTATCTCCAAAATTGTCTCCAGTACTGACTAATCTAATGTATTTGCACAAATATAATATTGTAAAGCTTCCTATAGAATATATTAGTTTAAATGAGAGATTTTTGAGGGAGTCATTTATACGTTGAGCACTGCATGTAAGGTTGTAGTTCATTAGTTTTGTTCTGCTTTCTCCCAGTTCTTTGATTTCATATGACCTTGCATGCACATTTACTTCAGTGCCTTTACTTCATAAGAGCCGCATAACACTAATGAGTCACTTTCCCCCCTGCTTGCAACTAAGAACAAGCCCATCAGCTATAGCTAAGCTTAGACAACAATTACAGCTCATTTAGGAAGTCTGATTAGAAAAGGACCCTTCTCTTATCCAAACACCCCTCATTATTATCAGCGCCGCCATTCGCAGAGAGATCCTTTTCATATTCATCATTGGTTTTATTTGAAAATGCTATCTAAATGACATTTTACACATTTTAAACAGCACAATTATGCAATTTGCAATTTAATAATGTGCTGATAATGTACACCGGCTCAATTATTTCCATTGGAATTGATCATCTGGAGTAATTGTGTCCGTTCCATTTAGTCACAAAGGGAAAAAAAAGAAGGGGGGGGGGGGGTCATCTGTAAGGCTAACAAAGGTAAATGGCGCTAATTAAATGACACATTGACAAGGCATAATAAGACAGACTTGTCATATAACAGGTCTGTTTTTGTATAACGAATAGTAGATATGCAATTATCCTGATCAAAACATGTGAAAATTAAATAAAAAGATCAACAAAGATGGTTCATTTGTCATCTTTTTTTTTATTTTTTATTTTTTGTGGACACTGAAAGACCGAAAGTTTGACCTCTGTAGTTTAGTGCAAACATGACAAGCAAACCATTAAATGGAGAATCTCAGATGTGTGGCGCTTCTCTTTCAAATAATATTCGGGATCTCACTTCTCCTAAGAAAACGTAGTGTACTTAGTATACATTGTCTGCTATAAGTATACTTATAGTCAACTACATTTCCTCAAGAAATTGAAAGGTGCAACATTTACACATGACGTTCATTACATGATAAAGCAAACAGTAGCTGTGTTTCCATACGAAAAAGCTTATTAACTTCATGTGCGAAACTGGAATATTGCATAAAAGACATGCGAATAAAGCAGCGTTTCCATCTAACGAACAAACAATAGATATCTATCTATCTATCTATCTATCTATCTATCTATCTATCTATCTATCTATCTATCTATCTATCCATCCCACTATCTATCTATATATCTATCTGTCTATCTACAGTATCTATCTACAGTATCCATCCATCCATCCACTCAACAACCCACCCACCACCACCATCCATCCATCCATCCATCCATCCATCCATCCATCCATCCATGCATCCATCCCACTATGCATCTATATATCTATTAGTCTATCTACAGTATCCATCTATCCATCCATCCATCCATCAATCCATCTATATATCAGTCTATCTATCCATCCATCCATTCACCACAATCTATCCATCCATCCATCCATCCCACCCACCCACCATCCATCCATCCATAGCACCCACCCACCCACCCACCCATCCATCCATCCATCCATCCATCCATCCATCCATCCTGCCATCTATCTATATACCTATTAGTCTATCTGCAGTATCCATCCATCCATCAGTCCGTTCATCCATCTATCCATCTATCCATCCATCCATGCATCCATCCCACTATCTATCTATATAGATATCAGTCTATCTACAGTATCCATCAATCCATCCATCCATCTACTGTGAGATCATTTTCTACAGTAAGTCTTTTTTCCCCATTGCACTCAACTCAGCGCCAAATAAACTGTCAGCATCATTGTGTTTACACAATCAGTATAAATTGTGGCCTATTATTATGGTCAGTGAAATAATCATGTGTTATTTATTTGCTGTTTGAGTATGCAGTGTAAGATAGACTTGCTAAATGATTGCTTTCAGCCTCTTGTCTGTGTCTAGGCAAAACCCACTAAATAACCATATGAAGGCTAAAGAACAAAATTTCAGCATTAGGAGGAAAAATCAAATAAATATAAAATACCTAGGAGTGACACTGTGGCTCAGTGGTTAGCACTGTCGCCTCACAGCAAGAAGGTCATTGGTTTGAGTCTTGGCTGAGTAGGTTGGCATTTCTGTGTGGAGTTTGCATGTTCTCCTTGTGTTAGTGTGGGTTTCCTCAGGGTGTTTCCCCCACAGTAAAAGGCATGTGCTTTAGATAAATTGAATAGACTGGCCATAGTGTATGAGTGTGAAAGACACACACACTATGGACAGTTTAGTTTATTCAATTCACCTGTAGCACATGTCTTTGGACTGTGCACAACAATGTAAACCTCAAAACAACCTTCATCTTAAAACAAAATGATGGAAAACACATAGCGAACTGGTTATTTAAAATCCATGCTTTTAATTCATACTCACTTTCTCACATTATGGGAAACTGCCATAACCGGCGAGATTGTTTCACTAACAATATGGTAGTAAGAAACCCCAGATCAAGTTTCACATCAAACGGATGCTCAAGCAAGTTGAAGCGCAACCAGAGAAAACGCAGGCTGGACTCACCGCAGATCTTCTGTTCCTGAGTTTTCTGGTGGACGTTGATAGCGAAGAAATGGTTCTTGTATCTGTACAGCATTTTTAGTCTTCAACTCGCCTCAACTCACAGTTTCCATAGTTACGGGCTGGGAGGAATTGAAGACTGAAAATGACATACAGGAGAATCTTTCTTCATCAGCTGGAGTTTGATGAATACCTGAAAACATCTCTTATACTGTGCACCAATAAGAATTTGTCTGGCATGGAGCACTCTATATGAATTACAAAAAAATCCATCTCTGTGTTGATATAATAACAGACAACAATCTTAATGCACTCTGTCTTACTGAAACCTGACTTAAACAAAATGACTATATTAGTTTAAATGAAGCCGCTCTTTCAGGATATAATTATAAGCATGAGCCGCATTAATCTTTAGTGATATTTTTTTATAGGGGTGGTTCAGACTGTATTTTTAAGGTTTGGTTGTGTTTATGGGGTGCAAAGCAATGTGTGCTTGTGGTTCATTTGTAGAAAATCAGGTAATTTTTTTATATATATCTTTTAATAATTATAAACAGCTACTCTGCTAACATGAAAAT